CCCGGGGAGCGCATGGCCGCGCCCCCTGCCCGCCGCGCCCCTCCGAGCGCGCCCCCTGCCCGACGCGCCGCTGCGACTCCACCGCTCTCCGCGGGCCCACGTGCCGAGCCGCCGGCGCGGGGCGGGGCGGCTGGTCCCTCCCTTCCCCGCCACGCCCAGTTCCCTGCCGGCGCCGCCTGTATACCCCGCGCCCCCGCGCCCGCCTCGGGTCCCGAGCCCCGCCCCGCCCCCGACCCCCAGTCCGGGACCTCGCCGTCGGGCTTGCGCGAGGGGCAGCCCCGAGAAGGATGGTGGGGACCAGCGGGTCTGAGACGGGGCCCACGGGGCGCGTCGGGAGGAGGGGCGGAGGGGCGGAGGGGCGGGCTGGGGGCTGAGGGTCACAAGGCGGAGAGGCCGGTGAGACACCCGGACTGCTAGCAGAGGTGAGTAAGGGGGGACTTGGACACACCCTCTCCCATTGAGCATTGCCTTGGCATATTCTCTAGGGTGTCCTCTGAAGCACAAAGCTTTCTGTCCTGGCGAGTTCCAACGTCTCTGTGGTCACTTTTGTCACCTGTGCTTTTGGCGTTATAGCCTAGAATCCATCGCCTGAGGCAGGGTCGTGAAGGCTTGCGCCTCGGCAGTGAGGAGGAGTTGGGGTGCCTTGTGGGGCCACCCCCAGGCCGCGTCCCCGCCCCCGGTCTGCCCCACGCCCACTCAACTTTGATAGGAAACTCCCAGTTTGTTGACTTCGCCCTGGAAAAGGGACCCCAAATCGCGGCAGCTGCAGGATTTTCTCAAGATGTGAGTGGAAAGTCTGCCCTCTCCAACCCTATGAATAATGGTAGTGGAGAGCTCCCCCACCGCCCAAGGAGAAGGGGAGATGTTCTGGTCAATGAACCAGTGAACTAGGCCTGCGGACGCTCCATCAAATATGGCGCACCCGGGAGGTATTTATTTATTTACTTATTTTTGAATCAGTCTCACTCTGACGCCCAGGCTGGAGTGCAGTGACACCATCACAGCCACCGCAGCCTCAACCTGCTGGGCTCAAGCCATCCTTCTGCTTCAACCTCCTGAGATCTGGAACTAAGGCACCAATCGCCACACCTGGCTAATTTTTTTTTATTTGTTGTAGAGACAGGTCTCACCAAGTGACCCAGATTGGTCTAGAACTCTGGGTTTAGGCAATTCTCTCACTTCCACCTCCCAATGTCGCACCCCAGGAGGACTTGAACTTATTTAGAGCCCCTCAAAGCAGTGCATTTTAGTTCACTTTAATTTTTTAGAAGAGTTGAACATTTCTCACTCCCGAAATGTTTGCTCTGAAATTAAACAATGGTGGGTGCTTAAAAGGCATGAGGATCACATTAAATGCAATTATTGCCGTAGGTTCATAGCGGTTTTGAGCAAAGAGTTCCTAATCGCTTAATTACTTGCTGGTACTCTCAGGCACAATGGTAGGCATGTAGGCTAAAGGAATAGCATTTTAGGAATAAACCCTCTCAGTGAGGGTCAAAGGGTTTTCACAGACTTGCCAACTCCATGGGGAAAAGCACCTTTTCAACTAATAATTCTGAAAATAACTATCCAGATGCAAAGAGTGAAGTAGGGCCCACATCTCACACCACATACAAAAATCAACTCAGAAGGGTCAAAGACCTAAATGCAAAAGGAACTATAAAACCCTAGAAGAAACAGAGGTGGTGAACCTTTGTGATCCTGAGTTAAGAAATGGATTCTTAGCTTCAACACCAAAGCACAAGCACACAACATGATAACAGACTAGTTGGATTTCGTCCAAATCAAAAGGTTTGACTTTAAAGCCTCCATCAAGAAAGTGCAGAGTGGATGCCCCACAGGAGACTGTTTTTACGCCACGCATGTCTTGCCACATGCTTGTCCATCCCTACTTGACATTCTCCCTTGGTCCATGGAAAATGTCTCCCCATGTTCAGAAGTCCCTGGGCTACTTTTTGAAAAGAAATGATGTACTTTTAGAAATTTTAGAATTTATGGATGGCATGATTGCTTTTTCAGCTAGAAAACAGAGGGGATGCTGGGTGCAGTGACTCACGCCTATCATCCCAGCACTTTGGCAGGCCGAGGAGGGAGGATTGCTTGAGCCCAGAAATTTGAGACCAGCCTGGGCAACATAGCAAGATCTCATCTCTACAAAAAATACAGAAATTGGCTAGGTGTGGTGGCCCATGCCTGTAGTCCCAACTACTCAGGGGGCTAATGTGGGAGGACCATATGAGCCCAGGAAGTCAAGGCTGTGGTGGCCATGATGGTGCCACTGCATTCCAGCCTCGGCGGCAGAGTAAGAACTTGACTCGAAAAAAAAGAAAAAGGAAATAAAGAGTAGGAACCAGATCACCCCTCTCCACCCTTCTGTCTCTGACATCTTAGGATCCTGCCCTTATCTGAAGGTCTCTTAGGAAATACCTTAGCTATGAGGTACCATTTTCCCTCAAGTATACAGCTTTATCCCTCTGCTAGACATCTCAAATCACACTGGGCAGCAGCTGGGGTGAACTGCTCTTCTCTTAGCAGTATGGAAAGTTCCGACTCATTGGAAGTTCTGCATTGTCTCACCAGTACCTTGGTGGACATCACCACAGAGCTCTTCCCTACTCCCCTGAAAGTTGGCCTCAAAGTCCTTCTCAGAACTACTAGCTGTACAAACAAAATGTGGTATACAAGAGGGACCCATAAAACCCGGAATTTATTTATTTAAAAAATTGTGTATTTATACCTGGCGTGGTGGCTCATGCCTGTAATCCCAGCACTTTTGGGAGGCAGAGATGAGAGTATTGCCTGAGCCCAGGGGTTCGAGACCAGCCTGAGCAACTTGGTGAGACCGCATCTCTACAATAAGTCAAAAAAGTTAGCCAGGCCTGTTGGTGTACACCTGTGGTTCTAGCTACTTGGGAGGTTGAGGTAGAAGGATAGCCTGAGCCCAGAAGGTCGAGGCAGCACTGCACTCCAGCCTGGGCGACAGAGTGAGACTCCACCTCAAAAAAAAAATTGTGTATGTATTGTTACATCTTGCATCTTAAACTTAGGTCACCTTCGAAGTCCTCTCTGTCTGATGCAATACACCTATTGAGATGCTTTTTCCACTGCTCACAACAGTTTTTGAAGTCATCTCTTCCACACTGGCAAAACATTTCCCTTTGAGGACTTTTTTCATCTGGGGAAACAAAAAAAAAGTGACTTAGGGTGAGATGGAGTAAATAGGGAGGGTGGGGCA